TCTGGCATAGTGAGAAGCACAATATTTCGTACGAGCCCAGCGAGGAGGGATGTCTTCGAGATGGCATCTGGCGGCATATCGGGCTCTACCAGCATCGTCGACTGGAGAAGAGCGGTATTGCACAGAACAGTGTCAAAAATCTTGTGCAGCATATCGGAAGACAAGAACTGGCATTGCAGTGTCGAGGAATCACTGGATGGTATAACGGGTCCAAGTCCCTTCAGCTCAGCAGCAAGGGACCTGCAATGGTTTGACATGAATGGGTGTGGACCCTACGACTGGGGAGGTTAGCGAACGGGTCACAGATAAATCGAGGTTGTCCAACATAGTAGACCCATTCGGGCAGAGGCTGTTCGAGCGCGGGCACCAGAAACGCTGCTTCCTCTGGCCATGGTGTGGCGGTATTAACGGCGTGAAGGACGACGTTTTCAAAGGCGCGCCAAGGATACATGAGGTACTAAAGTCCGTCAGTGCCAACTAGGGAGGTTTACGGGCCGCAGTTCTCTTCCGATTGAAGGTCAAGATGACAATGAACTTGCAGAAGCCGCGAAGTTATGGGACAACCCTTGTTTGACTTCGCACTTCGGATACGTGTACGGCTCGGTTCAAGTTCTGCCGTCTCATGCAAGAGGCAAAGCACAGCCAGGAGGCCAGTCAGTACGTGTGGTATTTCGGTCCCAGTGACCAGCCTTTTGACCGAAAGTATGTCTAGTCTTCCTGTACTGATTGTTTGTGCAATATATACCTGTTCAGGACGTGATATGGTTGCCGACCTGCGCCTCGATCATACGTCTCTGTACTTCAAAGTGGACATGCACAGCCGTGTCAATGGCTAGCGCATACCTGATCATGAGCACTACCACTGACGGATCGAAGGCACGAACATATATATGCGTACGACGTAGTCACATGTATAGGCAGACTAGAGCTCCCCGTTGAAACTCTACTGTTCCTGACTAACCTTATGGATCTCAACTAGACCTTGCCGTGTACGTTTGAGACGCCCGAAGGGCCATCGATGTGGGTCCCATTGCTGTATTCATGGGAAAGACGAGGCCTCGTCACAGCGGGCAAGGACCGGTGTCCCGCCACCGGTCATTCATCTTTCACGGCGAGGGTGGGAGAACACTTTCTTAGGATGCTCCATAGCGGGACATGATACGGACATAAAGAATGAAAGGTCAATGTTAATTAAATGTTCCCTGATTTTTGGGGACCATGGTAAATGTCCCGCAGACCTTTCTTTGCTCACTCAAAGGACATTCTTCATGTCCAGGTTATGGTCCAGCAAGGACCATTCCGGGAAATTGTTCTCCCATCAGGGAGATGTTCCTGGCATGCCCGGCGGCGGGACATCGCACTGGGTATAATACCCATATTGAGCCACTGACAAAGTATGAAAGGAACCGGACAAAGGTCCAATTTTGTTCATAGTGTTGCCTTGCAAAACAAATGAAAGTTCAATGAACAGTGCTAAACAAAGATCATATCCTGTGTCACAATCAGATTTTTGCGCACTCAAAAGTAGTATTATTCTAATTCGTTTCACTGACTGTGCAATGGACAATCATGAAAAAAGTTTGATCTTTGACCAGTTATTTTCAGAGTTTTGTGCATGCTCAATATGGGTGATGTACCCAGTGTCGGTCTCTGCCCGCAGTGCGTGTTTAGATCAGCAAGCACTCTCCGTGACCTCTAAGTGTGTCACATGTGTCACGCTCTCTGTGGAAAGTGTTCGCTTAATATCCAGTACTATACTAATAACCCTCACTGTTGTGCGTAGAGCGGCGTGGCCATGCCCCTCTACTCGTCAAGGAATATTATTATGCACGACGTGAGCTGTGATACGCCATGGCCAGCAGAGGCCGCGTCGTTGGCCCGTGCACTAAATGATCCGCTTCCTGGCTGGGTCTTCTATGTAATTCCCAATGAATGCGTTCCTTGGGTTGCTTTGCTGATACGATTTGCCAGGGTCCTCATCCGTTTACATCAAGCCATTGTATATCACTTACTTCGGAGCTGCAAGCCCAAAGATCGATCGTATCAGCGGAGAGCTCTGGCGTGTGGCCTCGGGAAGTGTCCCCTTGCGACCGGCTCAGGCAATTCTTCGACATATCCCTGTGCACTACAGCTATTCTGCGCTCGACGATGTCAATTGAGACCGACATGCCTCCGGATGCGATATCAAAAAAATCCATACTAGTCAATTTCATTTGTAGTATCCTACTTCGCTCGGCTCCGGATGCTGTCCCTATGTGAGTCATATTTTGTCTTCTGGCCAGAAACTTCGCTCATTTATCCCAAAGCTGCGAGGCGAAATATATACTCCCGAGAGACCCGACCTGCCCGTACCATCCGTTGTCCAAGTTCACGAGGAAGGCGGCAGTTGCTGATCTGATTGTCTGCCATAGCCCTATGGAGCTATCTGATCAGGCCCATATCCCGTTAACTTGTCAGGAAACCGCACGTATGTCGCTCGGTCTGCGTGAGTGCTAATTACCGACTCATTTCTACTCTTCGGGAACTCTTCGGTCTAGCCGTCTCAGAAGGTTCACGAGACTCCCTTCCCAACCAGGCTCCGGCTCCTCAGACATGGGAACCATGGGAGTTGGATATCCCCGGCAGGATGGAGAGATTCTTTGATGAAGGGGAAGAGGAAGAGTCTGATGGCGACTCCATGCCAGTGCGACAAAATCCGCTGCTGAACAGGCATCTTCTCTCTACACCGGCGCCGTCAGACGAGGTTTTCCTACCATTTCTATGCGTCTCTGAGCAGGATAGTATATTCGATCTTCTTTCTAGTGCCTTGTATCAGCGGGCGGGGTGCGGATTCAAGACGCCACTTGTGGGCCTGACGTATCATTATGGGTCGCCTGCGGTACAGCTTCTTGTGGCTTGGCTCGAAGATGAAGATACATCCGATGGGCGCTTGGTACGAACAGTCGGAACTCAGATGTACTGCTTTCTGACTCTTCTCGGCCAGCCTGCTGTACACGTTCCATGTGAAGGTTCTTCTGGGCTCGGAACGCCACGCAGCCTTTTCAATTTGTGTGACCCGCTGGATGCCTTGAGGCTGGCATCTCTTCTTATTTGCCTTCCGAAGTGTGTGTCTAGCCTGCGTGAACTCGGTGCGGGAGACTCGAGTCAGCGTAACGTTGAGCCGCTGCCCTGGCGATCAGACTTTTACCCGATAGAGGACGGCTGTGACAATTCAAACGATTATGTAGCTAAGATAGCTGTGTGGGCAAAAGGCGTGGCTGATGCTATCGATCCTGTGGAAAGGTAAATAGTTCATCTTCAAGTCACCCTCGCGAGACCCTCCCTAGCGGCTCTGACCCATCATTCACTCGTATAGCGGAATACCAATGTCTCTCGATCCTATCCGAAGGTCATCCTCATCGCGTACCTCCCGGAGTTCCTCGTATGAGCTCACAATGGGTGCCATTTTACGCTCGCTGAGTCCGTCATCACAGGTTACGCGAGACTACCCTGCGAGGAAACTTGAAATCCAAGGTCGATTCCACGAAACCCACGACACACAATCAGGGCACTGGTAGCGTGGCAGAAAGTGAAGGCTCTGACGCTAAACCTTTGTCATGTTCCAAGTTCGTATGTTTCTGCTCCTCAATATAGGCTTGTCTCACGGAGTCTGCCTTCAAGATTTGCGAAAGGCAATTCCACAATGTGGGGGAAGTATCGCGATCTCCACGTGTCCCTTTGGATGGTGGACGGATCAGCATTTCTGTCAGCATTCATTGGTGAACCTTCACATCCTGCCGTCTCACAATATGAGGAATATACGGCATTGTACTGGCCAGAAGATTGGGACACCTTGGTGAAGACATCGATGTCTTCATGTATCTACCATATTGATAGCAGATGACAGGCTGCTATGCCTTCTGTGGATCCCTCCGTGGAGGACCTGAAGGAAGAACTATTCGGGATGATTCAGGCGAGACGCTCGCAAGCCGGTTCTCAACGCCCAAAAAATATCGCTCTGAAGCACATCTCTGACACGGTATCCTCAAAACTGTCCCACATTCTCCGTGTATGCCAAACGGTGCGTCTCAGGGCACTGAACGCGTCCGGGCACCCCAGCGTATATGAGGTTGAAACACGTGTCGACTGGGACACTCTCCT